ATCTTTTCTAAAGAATGTTTATTGATCAGACTTGTTAACTAAATTCATTGAATACTTAAAGATTCATTTAATCAGATTATCAGCTCTTACTGCTCTTTTACATTCTGAATTTCATCAGAGATGATGTGTATTGAAATCTTCTACAATTATAGAGTTTCTTAATAGAGTTATGTTCAGAAATCCTCTATTAATTATTCAGATGTTATTATTTTTCTTCAATGACTTTTCATTATAGATATTTATAAGCTGTATAGTATCAAACTCATTCTCTTTATCTATAATATCACTCATCAGAATATCAGGGTCAGACATGATATCAAATCTCAGATTAAATTGATATCTTGATCTCTTTCTTTCATAGATCACTACTCTCAACTTTATCTCAGACTTTTGAGATAAAAAGCAGTAGTAGCTTGTATAAGAAATGACATATTTTTACTCAGCATCAAAATTCAGCTTCTGAAGCAGTATAAAATCAACTTTTTATTCAAATATAATTTGAAGACAAGAATAAATGCAATTTGAGTTTCTATTCATATTATTTTAAATAAATGTAATTTTTGAAGAGTTTTTAAACTTTTTTTATTATTTTTATTATATATTCATACTAAAAGAGAGTAGAGTAGAATCTAATCACTATTATCAGATAGTAGATTATAACTGTTCTGAAAAGTAGAAATCTCAACTACTTATATTATATCTAGTTTATTATCAGAGTCATTTCTCAATTCTCTAATCTTAATAGAAGTTTGAGAATTCAAATTCTATTTACATTTAACTGAAGAATTGAAGTTTGAAGATCTAGATAGTTAAGAGTTTCTTCTTTTTAAGTTTACAGTTATAAGTTTACTGATTTGACTATTCTCTTCAGTTCTAGATTTACTTTGAGCTTTATCTTTTCTTCAGTTCTTTTGAGTTCTTGAAGTAAATATACATTCTTTTGAGCTAGATGCATGTTTTTCTTTGTAATTAGAGTATTTAAGCAGAGTATATTGATATATTTCATCTCTTTTTAAGCATATTTCATATTTATGCTCACTAGTTTTGTGATTTCTGATATAGAATGTATATTTTGAGTCTCTGAAATAGAAGATTGTAAAGTATTCATATCTTTAACAGTTTGAACACTGTGTTTAAGCTTTGAGATTCATTCTTGAGTCTTTGTATTCATGAACTCTCATTTTCAAATCTGCTACTCTTACTTCAGAGATCTTTGACTGTTTAAGTGTCTTTATATATACTAGAACAGAGACATTTCTTCTGCTTTATCTGAAATTAATTGAATTTAGTTATACAGACTCTTTTCTCAGTTGAATGAAGTTGTATTCTTCTAATTCATTTTTAAGAAGTAGTATTTCTTCTTTACAGTCAAAAATTTCAACTGAAATATTATAAAGAATGAATTTGTCTCACTTTTCATCTCTTTCAGATAGAATTATTATGTTTAACAAAGATTCTACTGCTGATTTTCAGAGATTCTCATTCTGAATAAGGAATTCTGCACTGAATTCAGACATTGTGATCAGAATGATGAAGTTTTCAAAGAAGAATGACTTAATTGAAGCTATAACTGATTTTTGAACTTTAATATCAGTTATTAACTGAGAAAAGAACTGCTGATTGATTTCATTTCTAATTCTGAAAATAAGATTTGAGTTTAGCTTATTTCTCTGCAATATATTCTGATTTGAGACTTTGAGAATAAGTCTTCTATTTCTGAAGATTTAAAGATTTTTCTCTTATTACATTTTTTTCTTTACTCTTCTATTACTAGAAGTATGAGCAGTATTCTTCTCAGTTTTCTCAGAACTTTGAGCAGATTTTGAGACAGCAGATTTAGAGATAACAGATTTAGAGACAGTAGATTCAGCTGCTTAAGTATATGTTTTCTTCTGATTCAAAAAAGAAGATAAAGAAGAAGTAGAAAAGAAAGAAGAGTAAACTGAAGAGTCAGTGATTATATTAGAAATTTTCAAAGTTTTTTGAACTGTGTTTGAAATTCCAAGTTTGAACTTGATCATTTTCTATAGTTGTCTAGTCTGAGTATGAAGAATTAATAGAACTTCTTCATTTATCTCACTCAGATACTGCTTTTCAAGAATTTTACTTACTTTTTCAAGTTTCTATATTTCAAGAACTTGTTATTTCTCTATTTCTTCTTTCTTTCTTCTCTTCAGAATTTCAATCTCAGAAATAGTATTTGAGAAAGTATTCTTTTTCATATTAACTGAGTGTACTTTTGAACTTATTATTCTTACTCAATGAAAAGTTAATCAGACTAATTCAATTAAGATATTTATTAAACTCTTTTTAAATTGAAAAGTTGATTAGACTATTTCAATTAAGAGATTTCTAAATCTGTTTTCAATTGAAAAGTTGATCAGATTATTTCAAAAGAAGAATAACAGACTTTTGAGTATAAAATACCTGATTTTTTTCATACTAGTTCAGTAACTAGATTAGATTTTTGAAGAGAATCTAATATACTAAAATTGATTTTTAAGATAAATCAATAAAATCTTTATAATCTCTTTCTTAAGATACAGTGAGAAAAAGTATAATATCAATTAATAGTAAATCAGATAATATGACAGTTTTTAAGAGAAAAACTGATAAAAAATAAATTAATTTTTTACAGAGAAATTGATTAAAACTATTTAATTTTATTCTAAATTATTCAATTCTTCTCACACAACAAGTGTGCAACTCAAATCAGTTAATAAAGAGTGTAAAAAAGAATTAAGTATTAATAAAAGCTCTTCAGTCACTGAAAAAGTAATTCTTACTTAAAAGAATATGAAATTATAATAGAAAATAACTCTGTTTTTAATTCTTTGTAAGAATATTATATAAAACTCAGAGAAAAACATCTTACTTTTTCAAAAGAAGTAAAAAACTATTTCTAAGATCTTTTTTTTTTTTTTTGTATTAACTGCTGCAGAAGAATGAGATAGAAACTGTTAAGATATATACTACTGTATACTCTCTATCAAGACTTTCTCTCTTCAGAGTCTTGATATTATAGAGAATATAAGTCTGTTTCTATATAATAATATAAATATTGTCAGTGAGATGTAGAGAAACTGATTATTTATATCTTAAAATAGAAGACTTTGTCAATGATTATATTAATATAGAGTTAATTCTTAAATTCAATAGAAATCTAGTATTGCTGTTCTCAATCTCTTACAGAATCTATTAAATATTAAGATATTAAAACTAGATTTAATATATCTCACTGTGCAGGGATTAAAGGCTCAGTCAGATCTTGAGATATACTGATTTTATAGTTATTGATGTGCTGTTGACTTGTTGTTTATTGATTATGTGCTTGATATTATCACTGAGATATCTTTTTGTATTTTTCTGTCAGAGATGGGCCAGATTGAGAAGAGCAGTACAAGAGTGAGACTTAGTGTTAGTGTTTTGAAACATCAAAGATGGACAGGGTTTTCACAGAGATCACTTCTCAGATATCTTCACAACTACAGATTGAGGATCTTTCAAAATTGAGAAGATTGATGCATACAGCTAGGTCTCTTCACCTTACAATTTGTATGGCAATTTGGCCCGGGATTGTGGTGTGATAGGGGAGAATGAGGGATAATCCCACGCAGGAGTTCCAAACAACGTCTGGTTCATGTTTGGCTGGATAACTCCACCACCACACGGGGTATGCGGTCGGCGATGGGGTCAAAATGCTTGTATGATCGAGGGCTTTTCGATGGATCTATCGGCGGGTTCTTATTCAAAAAATCGAGCGAGTTCGTGGTGTCTATTCTCTTTGCCTCTTAAATAGATTAATAGTATAATAATACAGTGAATCAGTGGATTTTGCATGTATTTCTTGATTTTTACAGTTATTATCATACAGATGCCTTTTCTAATAAGGAAATCAGGGTCTGATTGATGTAATTAATTATTATTGCATTTTCGAAAGATTTGAGGATGGGGGAGGCCCCGGGTGGCGGCTTATAGGCCACGGTGTAGCAAGGGGGGGTGTTGGTGATTACTACACCTACCCTAGTCACGTGCCACTCCAACCTATTCATTTAGTGTAACTCGCGTAGTTAGATTACAACACAACACAATAACATTATCCTCCAAGATAACTTTCCACAAGCTAGCAACCTTTCAATCACACAAGCTTTACACCTTCCACAATAGATATATTAGATAGTGCATGGATAATATAACAACTTAACAAGCAGATCTTGATACACATAAGATTCATATGTCTCCAACATATTCATCCGTGACACCCATTCCGATAATACCACTGGGCCAAAGGGCTAATTCTTACGGCTCATTATCCCTGTCCACAGAAAACCTTCCAGCACTGTGCCGCAGGCCTGCGCCGCCAATTCACGGCCCCTTGCTCTGTATTGTCAAGTGTCCTTCATCCAATCACCGCATCAGAGACAAACAAGCAAGGAGGCGACCAAAATAAATCCTGCGTGTTAGCAGCCGTGCACTTGGTGATATGAACTGACCAGGGCAATTCGCCCATACACAGTCAAACTAGATGGCTGTCAAGCCTTGCAGTGGTTGAGCATGATAACTCTTGTCCACTAAAAATGTCTAGCCCAAGGCAACAGCCTGCACATGATGGCTTTGGCGCGAGTTTTGCAGGGAAGTTCAACCCAGCATTGAGAAAAAAAACACCAAATGTGAAGCATTTCGGTTGGGGAATTCGTTTCTACCTATCAATTCTCACGACACGGGGTACCATTCTATCCATGCCAATCGGGGAATCGGTGGGCGCATATTGGTATTCCGGTTTTGCCTAACAGGCTCTTTGCAGTACATGCGCCGCCTCCGTTTCAACACTGACAGGCTGATAGCATGTTAAGCTGGCAAAAATGCATATAAACCCCCTTCTGATCAGGCCTTTACAGATGCTTTTTTTTTCTTCAATACAAGAAATCCTACACTACCACCCACTGCCCAAGATCAGTATAAAATTTGTTTTCTGGAAATTCCCAGCTTGCAATTCCACTATGTCTTTTAACAAGATCCTCACAAAGAAGGTTGTTGGCAAGCTGTCAAAGGGTGGAATGAATGTTGTGCTCTCTGTTGCTACCAGAACTGAAGCCTGGTCACGTCCAGAATATGTCGCTGATGAAATTGGAGCGAGAACCAACCCAATTATTGTTAAGTCAAAAACTGCGTTGCCAGCTGGCACTGTTGAACTGTGCGTCAGGTAAATAGTCCCCTTCACAGCCTGTGGGTAAATCTTCCGGTGATTGATGGACATCTCTAGGGAACCCGAGCATGGCGAGAACGTGAAACAAGATCATGTTACTGGTGTTGCGTTTGATGCGAATGGTCATGGCCATAGTTTGCACTTTGAAACAAACCCAGAGTATGTGTGAGCCTCTTTGTGAAGTATGGTTTGAGGCTAAAGGAAACGTGGATGGTTCTCAAAGATCCTCTTGAGTCAAAAACCCTCCAACCATTGCCTAATGAGGTGTGCGGCATGGCATGGGGTTGGAACATAGTAGGGTCGGGGCTGCCAGATTTGTTGTGACACGAAAGGGGTTGGATCTATGGGGGTTGGATGTTTTCAGGCAATTATCAAATGCAAAAGATTAATGAAAGATGTTCATCCTATCTCCTATCTCTGGTCTCTCTTCCATTTGCTGTTTTGTTTATGTATTTTATATGAGAGCATGATGGACTTCGTCATTCCTCCAGCAAAATAATATCAAATTCCTCCCAAGGGTATACATAGTACAAAAGCTGACAGATTATTTACCCACTGGATTAATCACCCAAGTCAACTTAAATGAGAATGGTAATTACGAAACGCTAATTTGATTACATTCCATCGAACCACTTGTCTTCGAGAAGCTCTTTTGCAGTTGGTCTGTCTCTTGGATCAAGTTTCATAATCCTCAAGATAAATTCTTTGTCCTCTGTTGAAATCTCTCGTTGACTAGCCAACGAGAAAGGCTTTATTTTCTCTGGCGGCACAGTATCCATCACATATGTCAGTACCATCAAGGTTTCTTTATTGGCGAGATCACAGTAAGATGGTGGATATGGTCCAAAGTATATGTGATATTTGGCAAGAATGTCAAGTTCATAATCTTCATGGCCACGTGGCGTCTTTGGCTTGAAGATGAAGAAATTCTCACCCCAAATCATGGATATAACCTTTGGAAAGAGAATAGTCAGAATTAGATTTGTTAGAAGAAGGGTGTGTATTAAGTACCATGGTTCCAAATGACCAAACATCAGTTGGCGGACCCCATTCAATCCCTAATTGCGCCTCTGGGCTCCGCCAGATGGGTGTTCCAATTCCGTCGCGATTCTTGCAGAAGCGTGATGTTACGTGGACAGTGCTCTCGAGGTCTGCAAGTTGAACATCTGTGAATCGCTGCTCACTTTCACGCTGGGAAGCTGAAGCATAGTTCACCATAACATTGTCCATTTTGATATCTGCAGGTTACTTGTCCATCAGAAACCATTGTTCTCAATCAAGGGGGTGTTCAGGAAGCACCTGTGTGCACATAGCCGTCCTCATGAAGCACTTTCAACGCCTCAAGAATCCGCTTCGATACATATTTGATCTCCTTCCCACTCATCCTCTTGGCATTTGAGGAAGAGAGCAGCTCATCCTCGAGATGTTTTAGCACGATAGCAGGCGGGTCGGCCGGGTCAACTATCTCGTCAATCAATGGACGTAAATATGGTGTTCTGGACTGGAATCTCTTTAAGACATCCCTCTCGTTGGCAATGCGGAAATGGCGCGCGGATTTAATCACAACCGTTTCCCCAGTCTTGTTGCTGTTAAGAGAATGCAATATGTAAGTATTAGGATTTTCAATTATCTGAGAACAAGATATACCTTCCCAACCAAATGAATTCGCCAAGTTGCTTGGTGATGGTGTATGTACTGACAGTGCCCGTGAGACGCTGCCCCAGTTTCAAGAGCGCAGAAGGACTTGACGCCATCGAAGGGGAGGAAGAGGTCTGGGTGAGGCGAGCAACAAAGACCTGATGGTTCAGTTTGGGAGCAGCTTGATCTTGCCAGTCAACCCATGAGAGAATAACACGATGTGGTGAAGATTCTGATGAATATTCCTAAAGGAAAACAAGTCACAGTCCTCCTTGAATGTTGATGATCTCAGCATCTACCTTATCATACCAGGCACCACGCAGCCTGGTACCGGCTAGTATTAATTACACCAAGTGCGGCTCCTACTGTGAGACCTTTGCCCAAGGGCATAACTTGCACTGCTTGGATCAAGAAGTTCAGAAGATTCCACCGCTCACCATTGTATCAGGTAGCAGATGCACTGAAAAACATCAATATGAAATCACTGAAAACCATTAAGCCATTTGTATTGGCACTAATTTCATCAACAATAATGGATTTAACATATGCACCAAGAGCCTCATCCCATGTAATGTTGGTCAAAAAAAATCGCAGTCTGTGTAGAGTTTGCCTTAAATCTGACCCTTCTTTGAAGAATGTATAGAGAAAGAGTAGAGCCGCAGCATGTAGACATGAGACATGACAGGCATACAATACTACTTTCAGAGGCAGAGTCTGAAGAATCTCAGGTGATAGATTGCTACGCGTTGTCATCACATCAAATCAATTAATGAGAGAGTAGAATTACAAATTCTCAGGAAAAAGAGGTTATACACTACGGAACGCCATCAACATTGTATTACTACAATATTTCTCATCATTATCAGCTTACTACAATACTCATCTAATACTCACTTATGCTAGCTCTCTTGGCTCACACATTAGTTTTACTATAAATAGCTTTATCTTTTGTATGAAATAGATAGAATAGATAGTGCATGAATAATATAACAAGCAGGTCTTGATACATATAAGATTTATATATCTTCATTATATTCATCTGTGACACTTATTCCGACAGTTATGAGCCCGGTAAGCAGTATCTGAAGAGAAGTACAATACACTGATCTCAATCCTCATTCGAATTTGACAACAATTATTCAAAGTAAGAAGATTGATTCTCATTCATATATGATCCGAACTACTCGATTATTATACATCAAACTCAATTCTCATTTGAACTGATAACTATCATTTGAACTGAGACAATTGATCCTCAGTTGTATATGTTCTGAAATACTCAACTGTTATACACCTTGAATTCTGATCATATCTATTCTCAAATACTTGAATCAATTTCTCAATTCATTCAATATAACTGATATGACAGATAAGACAATGTCTAGTACAACTGTACACCTTAGTGTTTCTAGAGATTGAAAACTTTGATATAAGTAGACTGACCGTGTGACCGTGTCTGAGACCAGAATCAAACTTTACAGTTATTATATTATCTAAAAGCATTACTTCTGATCATGATTTATATTCATTACATTAATTTCAAATCACTTTATTTTAAATATTAAAGATCTCAGATTCACTTTTTAAATAAAAATCTAGTTTTAGATAAAGAATATGTTTGAATTCTTAGTTACATTTTCATTCTGATCTTATTATTGACAATAATATTAAATAAAATTATGAAATTATTTCTCACTTACATAATATTATAATATAGTGCTTATTTGTTGAAAATTTAATAGAGAGTGTTATTAAATATCATTACTTTTTTAAATATAAATTATAATTCATATAATTTTAATTATAAAAAAAATAAAAAATACAAAAAAAACAAAAAATAAAAAATAAAATAAAAACAAGAAAAAATCACAATAAAAAAAAAAAAAGAGAAAGAAAAAAAAATAAAAGAAAAAGAAAAAAATAAAAAATAAAAATAAAAAAAATTAAGATTATAGAGCTGTAGTACTTTTAAAATACTTACTTCTCAGAGTCTTTATAATATTTATTATCAACTGTGTATCTCTTATAGTAAGAGTAACACAGCTATAATAAGTTATTATCTTAATATTATCTAATAAATAATCAGTATATATCTGTATAAATGTGAATAATTAGAAAATATACACTTAAAAAGTGTGATCAGAGTGAACTCTGCTGTCACTTGAATAATATTAAGAATAAAATACTGAAATTAATAATTTCTCTTATTAATTTCACAGATAAAATGTGTGAAGATGATCTTGAGAAATATAAGATTCTCTGACTTCTGATAAAAACAGATCTCACAGAGAGACTCTATTTTCATAATATCAGAGACTGAGTATTACTAAAAAGTATTACTTTTATACAATATATATATACTTACTGCAGTAATTCATTCTCTATATATATAACTGAGAGTTATAGCTTTCTCATGCTGCACGGCTCTGTCTGAGATACTGCTGTCAGTTTGTAATTCACACAGTCTCTTAGTTCAGTATGCACTGTATATATACAGTTCTGTGTACTAAGACTGTGTTAATCATTATAATCTGATATGATACTCACTTTTTACAGGCTATGTTTCATTTGAGAGAGAGAGAGAAAGATATAACTGTTATTTTATTAAAAGAGAGATGAATAATTAGTATTATTAAATATAATTTAATTCATCTGTATTTAAAATTTAATTAGTTTATACTTTTTAATTTGAGAGTTTCTAAGAGTGTTTTAATAGTTTTTATATCAGCTTAAACTTAGTGATGAGTTGAAGAGAAAGAGAAAAGAGAGAAGAAAGAAATAAGAATAACTTATCTTTATAATATGAAAATAGAGAATTGCTGTAACTATTCTCTCTAGTAATAAAGATCTGTTTTCTGCATATATTTCTGATATAGATTATATAATAAATGTATACAAAGAATATCAATAGTGTATATATTAAATAAAGATAATATTGCTATATAACACTGTAGCTGTTTCTGTACATCTCTGAAAGCTGTTAATAGTTTCTTTATCTCTTTATATTTGATAAGTTAATAATATATTCTGATATACTTTCTCTTTTATTATTATTATCATTATTATCATTATTATTATTATTAACATTATCATTATTATTACTATTATTATCACTATCATTATCATCATTATTATCATTACTATTATATCATTGCTAACTGTCTTCTCTGCCGTCACTCTCTCTCAATACTTATTAAAATTAATCATGTTATTTCTCTTCAAATATTCTTTAGTTCTGCAGATTATCAAGGCGCATGAGCACTGTCACAGATTAAAGAGAGAGAAGAAGAAGATGTTTAAGCAGAGAGAGACAGATTGTAAGACATGTTATAATATCTTAAAGAGACTCTGTAAGAGAGTAGAATAATAATAATTTTAAGTAACACTTCTGATAGATTTAAACTGAACTAAGTATAGAAATAATACAGATGACATCATCTGTAAGAGATTGAAAAAGAAGATAGTGAAGAGTCTTATACAGTAGTAGTAAGATTAGAAGAAGTACTGAGAATAATTTAAGATTAAGATAAAGAGAGAGAGAAAGAAGAAGAGTATTACTATAAATAAGCAGTAGCAGAAGAAGATTAAGAAGATATTAAAGTAAGAGATAAGAGAAGTTAAAACTGATAAGTTTTTTATTAAGAGATAATGATTTTTAATAACACTTCTGTTCTCTAATTGATTAGCAGAAGCTGATAGAGAAGAAGAGAATTAAGACCTTATTCAGATCTTAAATACACTTTATAATTCAGAATATTGAGAAGATAGCTCTACTCTCTGAGTATATCAATCTGATTATCACTGAGATGAAACCTGAGACAGCAGATCAGAAAATGCAGGATTTTGAGATGCAGTGTGGTTCGGAAGAACGTACGACTGTCGGATAATAACGCGGCCGCTTCCGAACTTGCGTACGAATGTAAAGGGGGCCATAGCAGCCACTAATTAATTTAGTGTATGATATTATAATATATAAGAAGCCAGTGTACACCTGTAATCATACACTGACTTAAGCAATCTTTGAATCACATCTGGTAGCATGTCTAAAAACCAGTGAGAAGCACAGGCTTCTTCAGAGCATGATAATTTCATCTATGAAGTGATTTGTAGTTATCACATCAGTATGGTTCTAGAACATCTTAAAAGATAGTATATAAAGAGTGATGAGTGAAAGAGTATCTGATTGATACTGCTTTGCTTATTGAGAGAAAACTTCACACTCAGGCAAATATCATGTATGCGAATGAATGAGGTGTGAGAAAGAGAATGAGAGTGATGAATCAGATTCAAAGAAGTTCACTCTCTACTCAAAAGAAGAATAAAAGAGAGAAATGACTATCACTGAAGTTGTACAATGATAATAAAAATCATATAATAATATAGTAATATAATGATATAGTGATAGAATAATATACTGATATAATAATATAGTAATATAATAATAGACATTATATAATTAATGAGAAATCTGAAATGAATATCTTCTCTAGTTAATATGAATAACATTCTTCTCTGCTATCTGAACTGAAAGATATGCAGAATCTCTCAGAGAATTTACTTAAAGCAGTAAGAAAAGCAGCTGAAATCACTGAACTGAAATCAAAGCTCTGTACATGTATGAGGATTCTAAATGAGATTGAGGCCTTATGTATGCAGTAGCAGGCTGAGATGAAAGCTAAACAATAATTGATATTCACTGTGAATTGAGTATTCACTATGAAGAGCTTCACTGATGCAATTATCATCATCAATAAGAATAAAGAAAACTAGATCTTAGGCCTGCAGTGAGAGATTGAATGTTTATACAGACAGATGACTATACTGAACCTGAAAGTCTCATCACAATTGTTCATGATCTCTTCAGAAGTGTACACATTATCAGAGACTGCTACACAGAATGAGAATCTGAGTATGAAATATATCAAGTCAGAAGATCTGCTGAAGTCATTAAGCTTCAATAATGACTGAAAAAATAATGCTGCAATCAGCTGGCTAAGTCAGATATGATTATATTATTGAATTGAATGTGAACTTACAGACAGGCAGTTAATGAAATTTTAACAAGTCTTAAAATCTGCTGTGTTTCTACACAGAAAAGCAAAGTCATTATAGATAGTTAATAAAAAGATGAATCTCACAGATCTGAAGTGATATTCATTTTCATAAACATGAAATGAGTTTTTCAAATAAATCTTACACAACTTTGAGAAAGTGAATATATGAGATAAGTGTTACAAACACTTCACTGAGTGTAGATAAGTGAGTGATCTTACATTATACTTCATATACTTCAGTTTATACTATCTTATATTGAATGAAGAGCTTTTAATATCTTTCTGTTTACAGATCTTCATTCATGATCTTATGTCTGAGTTGAGAGTAGAATGAAA